TCCAAGACCATTCTATCTTTCCAATCTTCAACCAATTCACACCAATCTTTGAGCTAGTCCTTCATGATCAATAGTTTTTCCTTCATACCTTCCACTGATCGAAAGAGGAGGACTAATTGTCTGACACCCCTTACTCGAACTGTGATGTCTCCATGACCTCTTCTCTGTAATTCATCGTTAAAGGCTTCAACCGAGGTAGTTGGATTTAGTCTGATCACTACGCTTTTATACAACCATCCATTACCAGCTTTTTGTACCTTAATAGTGCGAACTGAGTTGGATTGAATCACCCTATCTCTGACCACATTAGCATATGACTTTCTCCCCTGATAGCGGTCATGTACAGTGTGATTGCCTTCGTGATCCCACCTCTGCTGAACTAGATATGGCTTGTTTTGTTTTGTACCCTCCTCTTTTCTAAACTCAGCCATTTTGACCTTTAGCGCCTTGTCGTCACACCAAAGGTCATTTGCTTTTTGCAGAGCTACATCAGCCGCTACTGGACAATCGTACCTAATGAAGCCAAATTTGGATCATGTAGATCTTCTTCACTTATTTGGGATATACGCATCTAGCACCACTCCAAAATTTGAGAAGATTTTAGATAGCTCTTTTGTCCCCATAGATACGGGTATGTTGTCCACAAACACCGAGTAAATAGTATTCCCTCGAAAAATCTCCTCTACCACCATGCCTATGAACCACAGGTTGCCATCCTTCATACCCATGCTTACTTGTTTTCCCTTCAAACTCGTTTCTAGATCGCCATGGATGCCCAGATGCTAGGTTGCTATTCATCTTGAGTTAGGGTACTTGGAAGAATGCAAGAATTATTTATTTTGTAAATGGGCTTCAATGTTGGTGGTATGGTTATATTGCATCTGTATTGTTGATTGATTATATCCTTTTATATCTATCCCTATCTTAGTAGGTTTTTGGTTTAAAGCTTTGCAAAATATCCATAGTTGAGCATTCTTTCTTGTGAGTTTGTTGTTATTTAGTAGTGCACGAATTTGTATCATTAAAATCTCAACAGAAATTAAATAAACAATTATTTTATTTTCACAAAATTAATTTTTGTTACACTTTTTCTCCATGTAGGATTAGAAGTTATTCAAGTTCCAAGTTTCTAGTAACTCAACATACAATCATTTTATGACATGGGTTAAGTTTCTCTCCAATTAAATGTTCTAATTAGGAGGAATTATTTAGCCTTGGTGGGTTCATTATGAACTATTTTGATGCTTTGAATCGTTCATCTTGTAAAATTTATTGAGCAAATCAATCAAGCAAAATTATTAAGTTGATCAGAAAAAATCAATAGTCACATGATGAGATCACTCACTATAGCATATTAGGATTTTAGGGACTAAATTTTTTTATTCTCAAAATTGAAAATTTTGTTGCAAAAAATATTAGGGGATTAACTATTGTCATGAGAGTTGTCACTAAAAGATTGTTCTGAAAAATTTTAAAAAATGATCTTTAATGACAAAATTTTCAAAATGTAGGCAACAAATATTAAATACACTTGTAAAGACAATAATTTTGTGTCAAAAAGATTTATTTTTGTAAACGAAAATTTTAGTTCAAAATAAATTTTTTTATTCCTAAAAAGTGATTTCGTCCATAATTTTTTTTTGTCTCTAAAATCTTTATTTCTTGTAGTGACATTTGTCTTTAAAAAAAAATTAGATGATCCAATATCATAAGCATATTTGCCATATATTTTTGGAAGATAAATACAATCTAATCATGTAATTACCTGTGATCAACTTAATTTTTTATATCATGATCACACAAGCCCTATATGTGAGCCTAAAGTGGGCACAATAAATTCCATCAATCTAGTTGGTGCAGTTGAGCCATTCCCTTATAAAACTTTCTTAACATAATAAGATAATAGACGTAATCAGAATAAGCATCTTGAAACAAATTAAATTTGAATATATTTTCATACAATTTATTTTCAAGATACTTTTTTTTCTTGGTGCTTAATCCCTAATAAATTATTTATTTATTTATTTTTCCCAACAAGCTCCATACAACTGCAACCATTCCTCTCAGAATGCAATATTTAATGGTCTTTCTCTGTGAACAACTCAGTCTCTGGATGCAGAGAGGATCATTTACATCATCAAGCTTCTCTTCTTTAAGACTAGCATGTGTTTCATGTTTCATCCTAAAGCAATCGGGGTAATTGCTATTTCCAAGTAACTTTTCACTTCTTCCATTTGTTCATTTTGTCTATTTTAATTGATTAAAGCCTTTCCTCATATGAGAAAAAGATTGAGTAATGTAATGCACTTCAAAAGTTGAGGGAAAATAATGGTTGGTTTTTACAATGGAAGTAATATATAGTTGTACCCATTGTGTATTTTAAACATCTACAAACCCACTTTTTTTGGGGGGGTTCTAATATTCCTTCATCAAATGCTAGTTTATATATACACCCAAGGCGATAAACAATTTTTAATTTTTTTTAACAATAAATAGGAGGGAATAGGGGAAGAGAAGGTACACTCGCAGCGTGGTAAGATTTGAACCAAGGCATCTTGCCTGATAAGGGAATACTCATTTGCCAGGCGAACCTCTTGTGCTCCGAATGTGATTGAGTTTCATAATTTAGTGTTTTTAATAGTAATGCTACAATAATCAAATTTGAATAGAGTTCATAATACCACGTATCAATTTTTTTGTGCCATGCAAATTATAATCATTAGACATTTTTACCCTTTTCTTTCTATAACCAGCACTATATGCTTTTCTTTGATTTCCTGTCCTCTTAATAATTTCACTCTTTTCTTCTCCCCAATTTCGACAACTACCAGCACAACCATCCCTTAACCGGTGCCACCAACTCTCAATTTTGATTGTGACCAACACTGCTACACCTTTCTCCTCTTTCTAGCAATATATGTAAACCTTCCTTTTTTTGTAAACCCATAACCATCACTCTTGGAGAAGAAAGAGAATTCAACCTCATCATGATGTTTAGAACCTTGAAAGCCAATATGAAAACCTCATGTGTGATCTTGCCAAATTGATGCACTTTATTGCGTATATTTATTAAAAATGGCTTCTCTCCGGCTAGACATCTAACTGAAGAGCTGCTTTTTAGCTTGATGGACCCACGTCATAGTTCAGTTTGGTAATTTAAATCATTCTTCTCGTATGACATACTAAGAAGATCTTTTATGTAAAAAAAATCAACATGCCATCTACTTTATTAAGAAAAATTATGATTCAATTATATAACTATAATGTTATTGATCATTCACTCAGAATCAATTTTTCCATCTTGTTGGGAGTTTGTCTTATGCTCAGGTACTCCGAGACGGTGGATCCACGTCCAAACCATCCATAACTATCAAGGCATTTGAAGAAGGTAATGGCTGGTTATTTGAGAGTGTGATTGTAAGGTTGAAGCCTTCTTGTTCTGTAGCTGAGTTTAAAAATGAGTTGGTGATTAGGGGATTGGGGGATGTTAAGTTTATATTAAGTGGGGGCTGAGATGTCGTACTTTTATTCAGCCCAGTGATGATGATGAAAGAGAAGCTTAATCAAATGGAAGGTTGGATTAAGGGCTGGAGAGAATCGGTATCAATGTGGAAACAGGGTATGGCCATTGATCAAGAAATGATCGTGTGGCTTAGTTGCTATGGAGTGCCTCCAAACTTATGGAGCTTCAATACTTTCAGTAGTATTGGGAGACAGTGGGGGCAAGTTGTTAGGATAGATGATGACACACCGAGGCTAAAAAATTTACAGTGTGGTAAGGTGAGAATTGCTACGTCCTGTATGGAATTCATTAATGCTACCATTGTCTTAGATTGCAAAGGTATGTTTTACCTAGTAAAGATCTATGAGGAGCAAATTGTTATCTCCAAGGTTGTAAAGTAACAGTGCAGTTGTTGTCGTCACCAAAAGGAAAGAGATATCCAGCGTTTAAACAGTCAGGAGGTTGCTATAGATCGGGGTAGCTTGCAGGTGACTCAGGGGGTGAAGTAGGGGCTAATGTAGAGGCTAGTGACCAGAGAGTTGTTGACTTTGTAGTTGAAGCAGCCGCGGTGGTGCCTACGGTTTCAGAGGATGATGGGAAGGTAAAAAGTTGGCAGAGTGTCTCTGTGGTAGAGGAAACAAATTGTATGTTGGAGGTGTCATGTGGTACACGAAATGTCAGTCCTAAAATCAATTTGGTGGGCTCTATGCAAGGTGTAGGTGGTAGATTTAGGAATGTGGATGGTGTATTATGCACGACAGGCTTCATTAGAAGCTTCAGTGGGTCTGAATGTAATGGGGTTGGAGTAAATTTAGAGGTGGTGTTAGACAAAGCCCAAGCCCAAAATAGGGGGAGTATTGTTAATCCAGCCTAAGCTCTTGATGGTATTAGTGGCCCAGGCATTCTACATAATATTGAGCATTTTTTTCAATCTGGTTGTGGGGTTATGACCCAGCCCCAGATACAAACAATTAAAGATAGTGGAGTGGTTTTGGGAAAGACTGGGGAATGTTCTCGCTCTTCACAACAAATTAAGAAGGCTTATAGGAAGCAGAAGAGTGAAGGGGTGAGAAGGAAAGTTTAGAACAAGAAAAGGGGTCTGGAGCTTCATAATATTATTGGCCCATCAATTAAACTCAAGAAAGGAGCAATTTGCAGGTCTGCAGAGGCTGCAATTTCACTTTCCAGGGCAAGTGCATCCAGTAGAGGTAGAGAGTTACTCAATGAGGCTGAAGCAACCTTACTGGTGGGGAGAGCTCTTGGGTTGAACTGTGAAGACAAAGAAGAGGAGATTGTGAGTAAACTTATTGAGTTGGAGTCTTTGGACATGGAGATGGTGCAAAAGAAGAGGAAGAGAGTAACCAATTAACTGTCTATTCTAGGAGGCTCAAAAGTGCTATTCTTTTAAATGAAGCTTTTATCATGGAATGTTAGGGGGTTAGGTAGGCCTAAAAAACGTAGGAAAGTCAAACAGGTGCTTAAGGAGAGGAACATAGATATGGTGCTCTTGCAAGAAACTAAAAAAGAGGTAATCAATGCAGAGCTTGTGAACTCCATTTGGGTTGGTGAAAAAATGGAGTTTATGTCTGTTGATTCAGTAGGGGTTGCTGGTGGGTTACTCTGCATCTGGAATCCTGAGGTTTTTCAGCTCAAGGAATGCTGCTGCAACCACAATTTTATTCTTCTTGTAGGTTCGATCTTTTTTAACTTTAATTATGTAATAGTTAATGTCTATGGGCCAAATGACCCTGTAGGCAGAAAATGTGTATGGGATATCTTTGTGAAGCTTAAAACACAGTTCTTGGCCCCATGGTGCATGGAGGGAGATTTTAATGAAATTATAAGCATATCTGAAAGAAAATGTTGCTCCAAGAGGGATAAGGGTATGAGGGAATTCAATGATATGATAGAGCAATTAGAGGTCTCTGATCTACCAATGTATGGTAAGAAATTTAAATGGTGTAATTCACATAAGGGTGATAGATGGAGCAGAATTGATAAATTTCTCTTAAATCCTGAATGGTTGCAGATCTTCAATTTCAAGCTGTGGGGTTTGCCTAGAGTAGTTTCTGACCATTGCCCTACTGTACTGATGGAAAATGAGAGGGTTTGGGGCCTTAGACCATTCAGGTTCATATGTGCCTGGTTTTTGCATCCAAAATTTGTGTCATTTGTGGAACAAACTTGGGCTGATCTAAATGTGATAGGTTGGGCAGGGTTCAGGTGTTTGGTCAAACTAAAAGCCTTAAAATCTACTCCAAAGAATTTTGAGGTGTTTGGTAATGTGGTGCATAAGCTCAAAGCTACAGAGAACGCAACTCATGCCTTTGATCTAGTTGCTGAAGATAGGCTGCTTTCTGCACATGAATTGGCCAGAAAGAGAGAATTGAAAGGTGAAGCTTGGCAGTTGGGTAAAATGTTGGAGAGGATGTGGTTTCAAAAGTCTAGGCTCAAATGGGAATTATTAGGTGATAGAAATACCTCTTTTTTTCAATGCTCTGGCCAGGTGTAGAAGCAATAGGAATGCCCTATGCTCCATTATGGTTAGTGGAATCACCATAGAAGATCCTCTAGGTATTAACGCTGAGATGTTAAATCATTTCAGTAACTTTGTTGCAGAACCTTGGTTGGTAAGGCCCACATTAAATGGTCCTTTTAAGGCTATTGGGGATGGCCATGAGTTAGGTTTTTTAGAGGCAGATTTTTCAGAGGAGGAAATTAAATGTCCTATCAAATCTTGTGAGGGAAACAAGGCCCCTAGGCCAGATGGTTTTAATATGGGTTTCTTTTCAGAAATGTTGGAATATAGTGAAGGATGATGTCTTGCAATTTATGAGGGACTTTCACCAAAATGCAAAGTTGGTTAGAGGGCTAAACAGCTCCTTCATAGCTTGAATTCCAAAAATTGAAAGCCCTTCCAGCCTTAATGATTATAGGCTTATCAGCGTCGTGGGTTCCTTGTATCAGATATTAGCAAGGTATTATCAAATAGGCTGAAACAGGTGCTGCCAAGGATCATTAATGATACTCAATCGGCATTCTTAAAGGGCAGAAACATATTAGATGGTATACTTATTGCTAATGAGATTGTAGACGGATGAAAGAAGGCTAGAGGGAGTGGAATTGTGCTTAAACTAGATTTTCAGAAAGCTTACGACACAGTCAACTGGGAATTTCTATTTTCTATGTTATCAAACTTTGGGTTTGGAACTATGTAGGTGAGTTGAATGAAGGAATGTGTTGTATCTGCTAGAGTTTCTGTGTTGGTTAATGGGTCCCCAACACTAGAGTTTTGTCCACAGAGGGGTCTTCGACAGGGAAATCCATTGTCACCATTCCTGTTCATCATTGTGGCTGAAGCACTCAATATTTTACTGGCTAAAGCTAAAATTTTGGGTCTGATCAGAGGGGCATCTGTTGGCTCCAGTGGTCTTAGGATCCCTCATTTACAATTTGCAAATGACACCATTCTATTTTGTGAAGCTGATTGAGGGGAAATTGTTAATATAAAAAGAATCCTCAAGTGTTTTCAAATCTTGTCAGGCCTAAGAATCAATTTCAACAAAAGTGTGGTTTGTGGGGTAGGGATTCCTAATGAGCTGGGCCAAGAGTTCGCAACAAGACTGAATTGTAAATATCAGAATCTGCCTCTTAAATACTTGGGCTTGCCATTAGAGGCCAGCCCAAGTAGAATTGGAACTTGGCAGCTAGTGATTGATAAGTGTAAACAAAGACTTGCTTCTTAGAAGAGAAGATTTTTGTCCTTTGCAGGTAAATTAACCTTGATTAAGTCTGTCCTTGCTAGCTTACCTATTTTTTATCTTTCACTCTTTCAGATGCCTGAGCTAGTAGCAAAACAGATTGAAAGAATCCAATCTTCCTTCCTTTGGGGTGGCTCAAATCTGAGGAGGAAAGTGCATTTGGTAAAATGGGAGGATGTTTCTAAAAGCAAAAGCATAGGAGGACTGGTGTTAAGAGAATTAGAATTGTGAATGTGTGCCTTCTATTGAAGTGGTGGTGGAGGTTTGGTGCAGAAGATAATTCCCTCTAGAAGGATGTAATCTGTAGAAAGTACATGGAGCTACGTTGGAATTGGTTCCCATCCAATGAGAGGGCTACCAGGATGTCCAAGATTTGGGGTGATATAGTTAACACTGTGGCTACTAGGGCAGAGCTTCTTCAATTTTTTAAAAGTAATGATGTGGTCAAGATTGGAGATGGTAAAAGAACTAGATTTTGGACTGACTGTTGGTCAGATGCTGTATGCCTCAGAGATGAGTTTCCTAGACTTTACTCTCTTTCAGTTGACAAAGAAGGGTCTGTGTTTATGTTTCATAACTGTAGAGATGAGTTTGGGAATTGGGTCTTTAATTTTAGGAGACCCTTTTTTGCTTGGGAGGAAAAGGACATGAGTAGATTGATTGTGCATTTCAACAGTACTCCAGTGCTCAAGGCAAATGTTGCTGACTGGTTGAGTTGGAGAGCAAATCCATCTGGTATCTTTAGTGTTTCATCTGTCTATAATTGGTTTGAATTGGGTTTTGGTCTGTAGACGTCCCCCGAACGCCCCAGGGAGGAACGAGTCCCCTGTTCCGTTCGATATTGGGCTCACTACAGTTCAGGACTCTCAAATTGTCATGGTTCTTAATCTGAACTAAAGAGTCCAAATCCGGCAAATCGTTTTGAGAAAACAGATTTTGAAAGAAGTGCCAAACATGGACTCCTTTGCCAAATACAGAGTCGCCACCTAAATATTTTATTTTGGGGAAATTTAGGAAACCCTGACTCGTTTGCCTAAGGCCACGTGTCTGTCATCACCAAAGTTGCCTCGGCTCGGGAACTTGGGTACGATTGGGGAAGGTCACTTCGTGAGCACCCCCGCTCGCCCGATCAAAGATCGGCCTCTACTAACCATGATATCTATTTTTTGAAAACATTATGCGTCTTATTCCGGTTATTAGCCTAGATTATTAGTGATGCGCACAGTATACAAGTATAGACTGGATCGCCTGAATTGAACAAAACATTTCATGTTTGTTTGTTTGAAAATGGTTTGATTGGTGCTACTCGCAAGTAGGCTAAGATGTGGATTTGCCACCTCAGGTGGCTTAGAAAACATGATTTTGCCACTATCTAGTGGGCTTTAAAACACACATTGATGAATTTTCCAATTCAAATAACTCAACCTTCACCCACAGGCATTCAGGCAATATATCACTTAAGCAATTAGCCTCATGGTAAGCATGCTATTCATGCAGTCACTTACACACATGCAAGGATGCTAAAGCATAAAACTTACCGAGTACTCCAACCAAAACAGAAGCTCATTAGAAATCCATGCATGATCCTAATTTATATAGAAATGCCTAATGCAACACATGCAAAAGTGCAACTTATAGCAGGCTCGGCTATTCTAGACATGGCATATGAAATGCTACAGCTAACATGTATTCAATTTGGAATTGAAAATACAATGCAGTTAGTATGATGCGCCGAGCCCGGGTGCATGCAAACAAATAGATGATGCAAAACATGCTGTCATACTATATGCTAATTGAAACATGCCATAATCTAACCATTATAAGCGAGTAAATAAAAGGGAAAAAGACGTGGGTTGACGACATACATCACACACACGCACACTTATTACAACATTGCCCTCGCGCAGAGGTCTGAATAAATAGTACATCCAAATAATACAGCCCAAATATGTACAAATCCCTAATAATTACAAATTAACTAAGAAAAATAATAAACTTGCATGCAAGCCAGGGACTATCTTGACTCTTCTCTAGATGATGGATGATACATATCCGTTCACCTTTGCGCGGAAATCCACTGTGATGCCCCAATTAGCCTCTGTTTTGCAATGGTTCTTGGAAAGTGCGCCAAGCCCCGGAAGACTGCTGATTCTTGATTTGTTGCAACAGAGAGCAGGAAAGGGGCATGGCAATGTATTTTCACACATGTATGCGTGACTACTCTTCAGGGAGCGTAGTCCTCGATCCTCATGCCACCAATCACGCATATCGATGCATGATGGCCAAGGAGTCAATTTGCATGACTCAATATGGAATGAATGCACACATAAACACAACAAAACCTAAACTCCATCATGGATAATCCGGAGTGTCGGTGACAGGGAATTGAGACACGTTTCGTCACTCGAAGTACGAAACGTCCCTCGTTTCCCGTGCTCGGGCTAACTCCTATCCCAAGCACAATGCAGTATGCATGACATGCATGAATGCGACTAATATACAACCTAGCATACACAATGCTATGAAATGAAATGGCATACACAATGCACGAGATAGCATGGCATACACAATGCGCTAACATGCAACCTAGCATACGCAATGCTATGAAATGAAATGGTATACACAATGCATGATGGACTTACACCAACATGAGTGGACCTCAGCCACACTCACATAAGAGGCCATAAGATGAAAATGAGACACTCGAGATGCGTGCACACGCGCACGCAAACCGAGGACCGACCCTAAGGCACGAAATGCCACTTTAACAAGACATGGCAAAACATGGAATATGGCATACTAGCATGCAAATTTCAGCAGCAAAAAGTGATGTAAAACAGCCCCGAAACATGAAAGAGTGGCATCGGAAGCATGGAATGAGAACCGAAATGCAAAACTAGGCATACGCAATGACCTATAGCTATATAAAGAATGCATTATTCGAACATGAAATGTGAAGACAGATTCAAGGCGGCCCCAAAACAAGCATATTTATAGTTTTAATCAAGGCCAAACAATGAACACAAATGGGGCTAAGCTAGCATGCAAAAATGGGCCAAAAGAGAGACAAAGAAGGAAGTGATGGCTTCCGGCTCCAAAAAGATGAGGTCCCTTCAACAATGTTGAAGAGGGGCCCAAAATATGACCTTTTACAGTTTATGATCAAACCCAAAACAGTGCACAAGCATGCTCAAAATACTATACAAAATAAGGCCAAAAAGAGAGCTATAACACAAAGTACCCTTCTTGATTTAGGTGTTGCAAAACAGAGAGCAGGAAAGGGGGCATGGCAATGTTATTTTCACACGACTGTTACCGGACGTAGAGCATATCTTTGCTATCACGGGAGCGTAGTTGTTCCGGGAACATCCCTCAAATACTTCCGGTGGCCGCTAAACAACGCCCCACAATCTTCACTGGCAGGTAATGCGACCTGCACGAACTGCGATGGTTCTTAGGGCGTGTCAAATTTGGGCCGATAGCACTCTCATCTATTGTGGTAAATGAAATGCACATCTCATTTTGGGAGAACACATACCACGAAACTACAACTTCGACAACCATGTGTATAATGAAACTGGAAGTGGTGTGTATTGAACAGGGGGAATTGGATGACATCGTTTTGGATGGCACTCCCACTATGTATTCAATCGGAATTCGGTATCTGACGGACTTCTTCGTTTGGCTTGGTGTTTTTGCGATAGATAACTTCTCATATCCAACGTACACTACAATTGCGACCGTAACTGCATGACATGCATGAATGCGACTAATATACAACTAGGCATACACTAATGCTATGAAATGAAAGGCATACACAATGCACGAGAATAGCATGGACTATATAACTTTACCCACACACGCATGCGTCTTAATCTATGGGCAACCCCTATTCTTGCAATGATAGTTTAGGCCTACTTTGTAATTTATTTCGTGGCTTTATCATAACTACAAAGTGTACTTATTTTGAGTCCCTCGTCAACTTGTTGAAGGGCTCTATTTGGTTTGGATCTCCTATCTATCAACTTGACCCCTTTATCTCCCTTTTAGGCCATTTT